TATGGAATTCGTTCCAAATATAATGAGTTTACGGTTAAATTATATGAAAAAAGTTTATCGAGAGTCCGGGCGTCGATTGAGATGATCGTCTGCTAAAAGATCGCAATGCACCCGTGAGAAAAGCACTTCAGGCAATCGGTAGAGATCCCAAATTATTTTTTCCGGACTCGCGCTATGGGAGGTTGCTTCGTACCTGGTTGTAACCATCGCGTGGAGAAAGATTCTTGCAGTTTCTTCAGATTTCCGCAAAACTCCAAAACGGGAAAGAACTGGATAAAAAACATAAGGTGAGTTTATTACAGATTGTACTCTCATCGCTGGTTCGATAGAGATCTTCACCGAAAGAGCACATCCACTAATTTTAATGTATAAAACAAAATTGTGAAATTTCGATAGTCATGCAATATTTTAATAACCTGACGACCTCAATAATAATAATAAAAAACGACTTACCTTGACGGCGTACGATTTGTTTCTCATGCTGGCCTGCACTATGCCGGTAATGCACTTCAGGTCGTCGGCGTAACTGATCTGCATGACGTGGTTTAAATTTTACGGAATTTTCGCCCCTCTGAACTAAGCTGGGTTCTTCAGAGAAAAAAAAAAAACACACAGTGCGGAGGCCTCTGCGGCCATGGCGATGCAGTTGCTTGTGTTGCTCGTTTACCAATGCAATTCAATGAAGACGCCCGCTGCAACAGAGGCCAGCAAATCTATCGTGTCGTCTGCTATCAAAGCAAAGCGGACTGGAATACTTCAGAAATGGCTTTCATCGTTGCAATACGACGCTGAGATGACAAGAAAATCTCCATAATTAGATATCAAGAAGTTAAGTTGCTTACAAAAAATTATTTACTTGCTTATAAGCGAAAATCTAGCCTCGTGTGGAGTCTTCATGCATTAGTCCATAGCAACGCCCCTAGCAACGGCTTGTTTGGACCCAGATGTCATGTTGTGACGTTATCACTTACGGGGAACGCGAGTGTCACTGGCTGTGTTCCAAAATTTACTCGATCCGACTCCGGAGTAAAAGTTTCGTACTGTGGCGTTCCAAAACTTACTCGAGCTTACTCGATGACGTCAGAACTCGCGTTCCAGAAGCGGGTTGTTTACTCCGGAGTAGTTACTCGCGCCACCCTCCTCGATCGGGGGGGTAAAGTCGGATCAAATCGAGTAAATACGTCACGTGATCTGTTCGTCGTCTGCTATCTGCGCCGAAAGCCGTCAAAGCTCGCTTACTCCGTTGGTTTTGGTGGCGGACGTTCGAAATGACAAAGAATTAGGTGCAGCATGTGTGGTTATTGCGATTTGCTGTTGTCAACGCAGGAATGGACTGCATTACATCCAGACCGTCCACCTTCCCCGGGAACGTGTACTTGTTATTATCTGAGTGCGAGCGTAAACAGGAGCTCCTCCGCATCCTCGTCCTCGGCGTTGGGGGAATGCCGTAATCTCACGTTGAAGGCCGAAAATGTTTGAACTCGGTATATGATAATGTAATATTTTTGTTTCCTCCAGAGTGTGCGTAATGAGAGGATAACGTTTGTAAAGCAGTGAAGGCTTCGAAAATTTCACTGAATCACATTCGCGTCAAAGCGAACGCGAGTTTCATATCATTCTGGAGAAAGCACCCTCGCGCTGTACCGCTACACCGTGTGGAATATATTTCTGCAAAACATAATCGGTGCAAATTACAATGCGTGGAATATATGCGTTTAGGGCACCGTGACTAGAATTGCAGCGATCGCGCTGATTAATAAAAACACATTTTTTTATGTCTAGCTGTAAGGAGTAAGTAATTTTGATCTCAATATACAGCTCAAAACGAAGGTGAGTAAAAGGAGCTGGTGGATCCACCTCAAAATACACCGCGTCGTCATTAACATTACCGTTCTTCGGGTGCTTTCTCCATGATCAAAAGGATCGTCTGCTATTTTCTGCCATCGCTGCTGTGTTTTCTTTTTGCCGCCGCCCAAGACGAAGCCAATCCGCGTAGTATCCAGGCGATTATCCTGGCCCCTGGCCGTTCCAAAATCGAGTCGCGGATCGTTTACTCGCGATGTCACGTGGTATTACCCGCTGACGTAGGAGGCAGGTTACTCGGGTAAGATTTGGAACATAGCCACTGTCGTCATGGCGGCCAACTTGTGGCTGCTGGAACTACCGTGGACTGTCGCATTGAAGAGAGACCTGCCGCAGAACAGGCGTCTGCCATCTAATAGCGAGTTCGTTTCACGGCACTCGTGCCCACGCGTGCCCACTCGCAGCGTGGAACGGGTTCGTTTCGGCCGGCGCTCCACGAGTGGTTGCACTCTCCGAGTTCGTTTCAGCGCTGACACCCCACGCGTGCATGCACTCGCTGCACCGAGAAAATCGGGAGTGCGCCAAAATGCAATCCCGTCATGCCTCGCTCCGGCGGGGCCGGCGAGGAGCGGGAGCAGACGACGAGGGTTCGTCTGCTACGATGTGTCGCGGAACCGAAAGGAAAAAAAGTAGATTTTCTGATAGAAATCGCGTCCCGCGGGCAACGAAATCAAACGCGAGCTTGAATTGTGAGCGTCTCCTATTTCACGAAGGAAGCAATCGACAACCCGTGATTTATTTGCAGGTTTTAAATCGCTCTGTTGCCGTACAAACGCTGAAATATACCAGTGTGTAAAGAAATGCTCAGAACAAACGCAACAGCGGCCCCCGAGATGTCTATCACCATCCGGTGTGCGGGTGAAAAATTTAACATTATTCGATAAAACTCCCCCAGCAGAAACCTCTGACTGCCCAATAAGCAGCAGAGAAAGCTAAAGATGGTGACTTTACCCGAGGATTGGGCAACATCATCATGTTTAACATTTACCTACGCAGCTAACTTGCCCCGTCGTATTTTGTTCGAGAAAGCTCTCGTTCTCGACGCCTTCACCAAGGCTAATATCTAATCCACAATGACGATCCAAATCGAAAGTCCCAGTTTTGCTGGATATTCCAACAGGCTAGTTTTAAGCCGTACCCTTTCAGTCGTTCACGCATAATACCATGCTCAAACGGATCAAGCTTCTGCTCGGACAGCATCATCAGTTTTCTTCAGTGTAAACGGTTATAAGGATTGAAAGATCGCAACCAGTTGCTTTGTGGACAGCTGGTTGCGGAAATTTACGCCGTCTGTAACTATCTCTACGGCAGCCGAGCTGCTTGAAGACATCGCAACTATAAACTACAGGTTGCAGTTGCCAACGTTTGTAGATAAACGTTGGTAGCGACTGCATTCTCGCATTCCCACGCATCACTCGGAACAGAAAGGCGCTAGTTTCGGTTTGAAGTCGGTACCTTTTCTACCACATAGATGGCGGCAGCATCAGTCTTCTGCACTCGGTGCATTTGGCGAGTTCGTTTGAGTCCAGTTTTCCGTGCAACACTCTGTGAGTGCGATGCATTCTGGGAGAGAACTCGAACGGTGCCAGTGCGTGTGAAACGAACTCGCTGCTGGAAAACCACCAGGAACTCGCTGCTGGAAAACCACCGCTGTTGGAAAACCACCAGGATCGCGACCGGCGACAGCATGACACTTTTATGACGTCATCAGCCTGAAACTGAGGGACCATTTTTTTTTTTGGACGCGGTAAACACGCCCGTCGCACCCGTCGGAGACGCGTTCCAGTTCCAGGCAGCATACCCTAATGAATCCGAATAACAAATAGAAAAACGCTGGACGCGGGTAGGTGTTCGAACGCCAAGGTACAAAATCTTTACCCTGGAGTTAGATCGAATAAATTTTGGAACACAGCCCAACTGGTGTGTTTGCGGGGTTTACCGTGCTTCAAAAAGTGGTCCCTCGAGTTCCGTCGTTGCGGGGTCGCGATCCTGGCGGTGTCGCGTCGCGGTGTCCTCGTGCAGCCGTGTGGCCGTGTTGGATAGCTTGGCAGACGCTTGTTCTGCAAGTCGTTCTCCTTTCCAGGCTCTCCACTGTGGCAGTTCACGGAAGCTTCCCCAGCCAGAAGTTGGGACGCGGCGACGACAACGACACTCCCTTTCGCTTTGTTTTTCCGCCAGCATTTCTGCGACTAACGGCCAGGATTGCGATGTTGTCATTTCGGGACCACTTTTGATGCATGGGGGCATTAGCGGGATAGGACGAGAAACCAAGCTAAACATACCATACTGAAACAGGTTCAATTGGTTCAGTCGTTCAGTGAGTTCATTTCAGTCGTGGCGAGCAGTCAGAGCGGATGGAGGAGTGCAAGCTATGCGGCCACAAAACGCGCGGTTTTGTTTCTTCTTATTAATGAGCTAACTACGCGGACTAATTGAAATGTTTGTCGTTTCATGATGCATGCGAAATCGCACGCTGTCTGTGCACCTCAGCACCAAAACACGTGGCCGTGTAGCAATAAAAGTTGCTTTGAGTTTTATTTTCTTCTTCTTTTTGATATGTTTGCAATGACTGGGCCCGCCGAAGCTCTAAAAAAGAAGTGTAGGTGAAATTCAGGGCAGGTTCAGTAAGTTTGGTAGGTGATACGTCGCCACCTTCGATTGAGCAAAAAAACGAAACAAGAAAAAGCACGCAAATACTTGGCCCAGGTTGGCCTACGCGCCTACGCGCGAAGCTAACATGGAGAGCGATTTGCGCTTCACTAACGTTTGCAACATTTCATATTTCGTTATGCCGTAAATTATAGTGATTTGCTGCTTGTATTCACTGGTAATAATAATAATAAAAAAATAATAACTGCCCACTGTTTCTTTAAATAACTTTGGAGGAGCGAGATTTCTCTGAGCATGCGCAGTGAAATTCTCGCACCCCTCTTCACCAGGCCTAGAAATTTTTAACATGGACTCGGAAGGAAGCCGTGAGAGATCCTGAAACTTTTTAATTTATTGCAAACTTTACACGTTTAATACTGTAGCAAAATATCTGCAGACAGCAAGAAGCAAACTTGGGATCGATGGACAGTACGTCCATAATAACCCAAGTTAACCGAGAAGAGGAACAACTAACAAATTTTCCTCCTGATAGAGGTAGGTTCACAGCAATATGGCGCCTTTCGCGATTTGTATCGTAAAAGAGGGAGGTAGTGTCGCTGTTCTAAACTGAAAAGCGCGCTCGGTGCGTGCTTTTTTTCACGCTGCGGGTGTGTCCGAAGACCGCTTGCAGGTCCTGCACTACAAAACTCGGGGCAACTAGCACGGAAACCTGCGGGCGGGAGCAAAAGTCGTCGCGCGTATTTAGCACAATTTTACGCTTTAGGGTTAGCCCCGTTAGCGGTGTGTGCTTACAAACTGCGCTTAGCTACTGCTCGCTCCAACCAATGTGCTCGCTTTTTGACCTGTGAGCAGGAAAAAGGACGCTTTGTTGACATGAGTCCTATATCGTGTAACCAGTACCAAGGCTGTCATCTCCGTGCTGTCGCGGCAGGCGCGGCGTGGGGATTGCGAAGAGCAAGTTGGGCTGTTTACAAGAGAGCTTCCCCCGTCTTTGCAGTTCAGAGCGCCTTGTTCTACGCACGCAGCATTTCTGGCGAAGCGTAGTTTTCATTCATGAGCGCTTAATCGGGCACTCCAAATGCGAGGTTTACTTTTTCGTTTTTCGCGACCACCGCGCTATCCAGACCACGGGCGTGAAAACATAGCAAGTCCAAGGTCCCATCGCGTGCGTGTATTGGGAAAGGTGGCGTGGTCATGCATCCTATATTTTTTCCTAAAAAAATTGGCCTACGTTTTTGCTGCGTTTTAATGGAGTATATATTCACATTTGAGCCGCCGGTACCGCTTGACTGGAGTTAGCGCGCAGAGGGGTTCGAACGGGGGATGACCAACCGTTAACGGGAATTTTCGCTAGTGACCCAGCCATGTGTCTGTGAGCTCGCCTGTGTGTGCAGATCTGTAACGTTCAGTGCGCTAGTCTGCTGAGTTTGGTTCTTTCGAGTGTCGCTTAGCCTAAAGTCGACCCGGTGGATCGTGGAGCTCGCGGCAAGACGCGAAGCTGTAGCAATGGCCAGTGTACTGGGACCGCACACGTAAAACTCGTCCGGGACCGCTCTCGAAGATGGGTGAAGGTAAGCGGTTTTCTTATGGCACACCGGAGTAGCCCCCTCCCATCGTTGCCGAATATCGCGACGGTGCCCTACTGCGCACATTTCCTGCTTGTAATCGCTGGCCGTAACTCGGACCGATTTCCGATCTGATTGGCGTGTTCGCGACAACTTTCGCGGCTTGGTGTTGGACGGTTGCTTTCGCCCAAGTGTCTTCTTTTGAATCGCCTTTTTGCCCTAACTTGTGTCACTCCTATAGCACGCCTGATTGTTGTAGAGTGTAGAAAATGGGAGAAGGACGTGTCCTGATCCCACCTTGTACGCTCTCCAATATTCCCTGTTGCACCTGATTTGTTCGTCCTTTACCATAACAGATTTTGTTAGTGATTTGAGTGGAGAGTGCTTCCTTTTCATAGCTCTGTCCGGTGTAGCATCGACGTCGTGGCTTTTCTTGGCAGCCAGCTAGAATGAGTGACTGTGTTTGCTTGCTTTTGTGTATGAGGCAAAGGGGGGCGTGGTTCAAGAGCACTTCGGAAAGCTCTACCAAGGCTTCTTTTCTTTGTGACCCTGCAGAGTTATACATGCTATCCCAACATGGTCTTCTGCATATATGTAGTGATGTTGACTCGGTTAATAGGTATGTTCCGATGGATCTGCTATCCTAAGAGGGCCTTGCTTAAGCTATGCACATATCGATTGGCTTGGGTGCTAACATGCTCAACCTCCACCTACATCCGTGTATGTGTACGTATTCACTAGAGGTGCCTTTGTTGTATCCATATTGACATTCGTGGGTATATTTGCGGTCCAACCAAGTTCCTGCGTGTGACTGGGGAGGAGATTCTTTTGAGATTTAGAGCTGGTGGTGGATTGGGCACAATCAGGGGATATCTTTAGGTCTTTAACTTCTCTGTCGGTGAGCATACAGCTAGAAGCAGCTGGGGATTCTCAACTAGCCCAGTTGCCCATTGATTGCGTCGCGAGCTGGTGCGGGATGGCACTGGATGGACCATGGAAAAGTCGAGTGTGCCTCTTCCCTCAAAAGCGCTGCTCAGATCTGGCCTTTATAGGGTGTTTTCACTGACATAATTTCGTCCACCATTTTGTTACGTGCTGTCTGGCATGTGCAAATGGCTAGCTTTCTAAGGATTTACATGACCTCTTAAAGGGGCCCTGCAATGACTTTTTTACTAATTTTTAATTTGCACCGAACCTGAGCGCACTGAACGTAATAACTTAGCGAAACTTTTCTTTTCTTGAAATTCCCTTTATTTTAAAAGTTATAGGCAAATTAAAATGACAAAAACAAGCAAAAAATAACCTCCCTCATGACGTCCTTGGTTACTTGAGAGTGGCCGTGAACTAGAGAAGAAGTAGTGAGCTCATCGAGCGCTCACGGCTGCCGCACTCCCGTGTCGACGGTGCGAGAGGGCACCACTAAAGCGTGTTCTAGATAGGCTGTATGCAGCGGGCAGCCAGAGCGGCTCTCATTGCATTTGCTGCGCGGTTAAACACTAAGTCGGCATGGCACTTCAATGGCCACAAACGACAGCAAACACATGGTAAAGATCAGTTCAGAATGGGAGCTACTTTGCGCTGCCATACTGCAAAAGGGCCAAACTGCAAGACAAAGCTTCTCGCCGAAGGCCTTCGGAACGCTCGGAGCCGGTCGGATCCTGTTGCCCATACGACCGCAGCGCCGCTGCATACATCCGGGATCTTTCCGTGTCGGCACCTGATCCCACTACTCTTTTCTAGTATGCGCCGCCTTTTCCGCCACTTGGTGGCGGGTTTGTCGACGTTTCTTTTCTTGTTTTCATACTTTATAAACTGCATTTGTTTCTTTTTTGATCTAAAATACTGAACAAAAACTACTTTTATAAATAATTGAAACGGTTCGCGCCACTTATATTTTGTATTTCAACTAAAAAGAAGCCGACTAAAAAGAAGCTTTTAGCGGCTCTGACCAGTAGTAAGCCCAGAACCAAAGACGTCACATTTTGCGCGCTTTCAATACCGCGGGTCGCCCTCGTCGGTGAAGGAGGTTTCCATGTCGTCCGGTTAAGATATGACGCACTGATATTTAGTTACTCTCTCCGTGCCCGCTGGCTTGCCCGACCCCTAAGAGACGTGGAAACCGCAAAAAAGGTAGACGCTTAAATATGATTGCAGGGCCCCTTTAAAGGGGCCCTGCAGTCCTATTTAAGCGTCTACCTTTTTTGCGGTTTACACATCTCTTGTGGTTCGGGCAACCCACCGGGTATGGAGAGAGTAACTAAGTATCGGTGCATCATATTTTAACCGAACGACGCGGAAGCCTCCTCCACCTATGGGAGCGCCCCGTGGTACCGAACGCGTGTAGCATGTGACAACATTGTGACGTTGTTGGTCCTGGCCAGCTCCTGCCTTACGACTGGTCGGAGCTGCTAAAAGCTTTTTTTTTTTTTACTCGAAATAGAAAATATAAGTGCCGTGAACCGTTTCAGTTATTTATGAAAGTAGTTTTTATTCAGTATTTTAGATCAGAAAAGAAACACATCCAGTTTATAATGTATGGAAACAAGAAATGACCCGTCGGCATACCCGCCACCAAGCGGTGGAAAAGGCAACGCATACTAGAAAGGGGTAGTGGGATCAGGTGCCAACGTGCGCCACGCATCGCTGTGAAGCGGCGAGCGTAGAAAGGTTCCGGATGTATGCGGTGGTGCTGCAGTCATATGGACTCAAGGATCCGGCCGGTTCTGAGCGTTCCGAAGACCTTTGGTGAGCCGGTTTGGCTTGCGGTTCGGCCAGTGCAAAGTGGCTCCCATTCTGGACTGACCTTTACCCCATGTTTGCTGTCGTTTGTGGCCAACGAAGTGTCACGCCAAATGCCGCAGCAAATGCCATGCGAGCCGCCCTGGCCGCCTGCTTCGTACAGCCTATCCAGAACATGCTTTAGTGGTGCCCTCTCGAGCCGTCGACATGGGAGTGCGGCAGCTGTGAGCGCTCCCTGAGCTCACTACCCCTCCTGTAGTTCACGGCTACCCAAGCCAGGACCAGGGACGTCTTGATGGAGGTTATTTTTTGCTTGTTTTTGTAATTTTAATTTGCCTATAACTTTTAAAATAAAGCAAAATTCGGGAAAGGAAAAGTTTCACTAAGTTACTTTGTTCAGTGCAAATTGAAAACCAGTCAAAATGTCGTTGCTGGGTTCCTTCAAATGCATAGAGCACATAAGCTTATATCATGTCTTGCCACACTGACATCTCAACAGGTTGCAATGTAATCCTTCGAATTAGTAAATTTGTTTGAAAAAAAAAAAAAACAAGGTAGCAACAAAATGGTGGATTGATGTCATGTGTAAACACCCTATTGTAAATGCTGAAGGCTGTCATATTATGTGGTATGTTTATGACTGAAGCAGGTGGGGTCAGAAATGAGGCTTATTCTGTAAGTGTGAAATCCCACAAACTGTTATTGGAGTTTCATGCTCACGGTTATTTCTTATTTGGTGTAATATGTCTCTAATTAGGGAACTGAACTGTGGACCATTTATGCTACTTGATTAATATCAAATAGAGCTGCACAATGTTTTTTTTTTTCTGTCTGGTGCATAACACTCCCATTTCTTCCTTTGTGCTGGATGAAGCTTTGAAGGCCAGTCTAGTTGTGAATAAGTAGTTTTTTTTTTCTGTTGTTTCAATTCTAAGTCAGGGGAATGGGGGGAAAGAAAGCTGAGTGGCCTGGACTAGGCTGGCTGTAGTCAGAGGAACAACATTTTCCAGTGGTCTATGAAGGACTCGAGAAGCGCGTTTGTGATGGTTGAGCATCGAAATATTCACATGAAGTGCCTCCAAAAGTGAACCAAAGAGGTCTCCGACAGCTATAATTTTATTAGTGGCACTACTTTAATGCTGCAGGAACTAGCTGACATGCATCTGGGTTTAATTGTTCTTACAAATAGATTCAGTATTAACTGTCAATGACAGGGCTTTGCCGAATTCCTGCACTGGTGGAAATTCATTTTCTGTTGTGGCAGTGTGTATGCCACTAGGAAGGTTGCAGAGGCCGGCTGCCATTGGATAACACGTCTTCGTGAGCAAAATGTTTTACAAATGGGGTGTTTCCCAACATCCCGAGTGTCTGCCAGTTTGGCCGTATTCCACATCTGACAGCCTGGGGGATTGTAAAATAGCCTGTTTTCTTTCCACAATCTCCATGATGATCGAAGACACTGGAGCTGTTTCGACTGCAACAGCGAGTTGCTTCATACTTAAATAATGGCCCGCTTCTAGCTTTTGGTTATCTGCTCAGTATATTCCCTATTTTCGCTCGTGCCCCGATGTTGCGCCACTGGTCTTGCATCTAGTCCGATAGATCTGCAGCCTTTTCGGTGGGAAAGGCTGCAGACCACCTCCCTTCCAAAGTACTCTCCAGTTTCATTGTCACTGCTAGGATACAATCCTGGAGCGCGTGGTCGCTAATCTTGCTCCCAGACTTTATGGCATGGATGGAAGTGTGTTTTGCATTCTACTAGTGGGTTGCAAGGTTGTTAAAAGCAAATGGACAAATTATCTTGCTGCATGTGGGGTTTTATTGAGACACTTCCGGAGTGGGGAAAACACCTGTGACACTGTGTTGTTGCCTTGCTGCTTACTTTCCTTTCTGGCGTGTAAGACTATATCATATTTTCTGAACCATAGTCTGGAGGGGCAAATCTTGCTTTCAAAATAAGTTTTTAGATTGCCTGCACTTGGCACATAGTCTGCACTAGAGTCACTGAATGTTCCCAGAGTACCGAAACTCCCAAGCTTCGTTTCAGAACCGAGTCACGGCGCAGCAGTCGTGCTCCATCCTTTCCCCTATATGGCGCTGCCCTGTGCGGTCGAAGCGAAGTGCGTACAGTGTAGTGTTTCTTCTCATTTGAGCTCTTCAATCCACTTTCCTGGTCTGTGGCGACACTGATTTCTTTTAATTGAAGTTCTTTCCTTCGTTCTGAGCGGTGCGTGGCTTGCTCCTCACTGTCTCATCTCTCTGTCGTC